ATTCTATCTGCATATCTCTTCGATCTATGCAATTCTATCTTTTTCGCTGGCTTTATTTGCCTGGCTTATATACTAAAAATAGAGGGCGCTTGGAACATACTAGAGCTGCCAGGAAAATTCATAATCCTTCGAGAAACTCCAACGCGCTTGCTCCCAGGGTCGCGTGACCTCCGCAGTTGTAACAATATGATAAGCAAACATAGCTGTTAACTTTTCGGCATTACTAATATAGTTTAATATTAAATAAATTTTCGCCTTTATAATAAGTTGCACTTTACTGAATTATTCAACATGGTTGATAATTTAATTTATTAATCATTTTATTACTGTCTACAGCATACAATTTTTCATTGGCTTGAAGGAAGGTGGCATTTCAATTACGTACAGGGGTTTGAATCTTGAAACGCTTGTACATTTTTGTAGTTATTGTAACAGACTAAAACAAAACACCGCTACAACCAGAGTGGAACAAAAAAAAAGAATTTATTAAACTTTAACAACCACAGAAATCCAAAATAAAACTTTCAAACAATTTGAATACAAATTTTATCACTTACAAAAAAACAGCTAACGAACAATATAACATAAATATCAGTGATTAATTTCAGTAAATAAATGAATTAGGATAAAGAACCAGAAGATGAAAAAAACCTGTTCCTTTAAAAACACAATATTTCAAAATCAAACTACTTCAATATCAGTACAATTTCGATCAATAATCGGAAATAACTTGTTTTAACTATATTTCAAAAACTAATGCAAGGCACGGTTTTTATTTTGTGGTTAAACTACGAAGTTACATCTCATGTGAGTAGTTAATTTACTCAATCCCAGACAACATTAATATTTGTACTCACCGTTAGGAGAAGCTTATCTCAATTTCATAATACAAACAATCAAAATCACAAATCGAACGTGCTCTAGCTAGAACAGCAGAAGGTCAGTTAGCGTTTTTTAGTTTAATATATAACTAAAAATTCATAGTTGAATTAAACGATAGAAGGAATAATAAATGAACGATAAACAAAACCATAAAATATAAGTAGAAATCTGTTATCTCACATTATAATATTAATAGACTCAAAGACCGCGCAATTACTATTACCGTGAGTACTAGTGGTAGTGGTAGTTTGTGTTATTCGTGAGAGAAACCTTTCATTCTGACTTTTGACTTTGTCAGTTTTGATACTGACATAATGTCAGTTCTATACAAATATTTACTGTATATAATTTAGCCTTGTGTTTTAAAAGTTAATAATCTGAAGTTATATGTTACATACAGTAACTTTTGGCTTTGCTTGTACTGTTGTAGCTGAACTTTACTGTCTTTAGTTGTAGAGATAAATCTTTTATAAGTTATAACTGAGTATAAACTATAAAGTATATAATAATATTCAGCTGTCTGTTGTGTTTTAAAATTATATCACTTCCAAAACCAGTCATGATTTTTGAAATGACAGATAGTTTGTTCAACTTTAAAAGTTTAGGACTGCAGAGTGCTTTGAACTAATATGTAGCGTTCTGTTACTTCTTCTAAGTTCTACTTCTGAAGTTCTAGTTAGTGTCTTAATTATTTCAGCCTTCAGGTAACGTGAATCGAGTTGGGACTGAATGCTTGGTGTCGGAGATAAACTGTAACAATGAAAGTAAATAATATAGATCTTTAGTTATTCATCAAAGTGGATTTTGTAATGAAGTTAACATGTAATATATTAACAGATTTGAGATCTGATACTTGGTACTATGGTAGTGTCATATAATTAAATTATCTCACAATTAATATTAAATGAGGTTTACCACCAATCAGTCTCACTTTCATGATTTCAGCCTAATGCAATTATTTTGTTATGCTTTGATTTAAAATTAAATGAAAACATAAATGTAACATAGTAACATAACATAAACTGTGACAACAAGAGATAAATTAGAGAGAGAATTATTTTTTCCCCTTGTAATCAATAATAGGCAGTGAGAAGGTGCTTGAGAATTTGAGAGTTACTAATATTATTCCTGTTTTTAAATTACTTAGCTATTCACCTGGTGGTAGAATATTCATTTAGAATGATAGGGGTATTTCTTCCATTTATTAACAGGTTTCTTTATGTGGATGGCATTCATCATGGCCAAAAGAAAATCTTTATTTTCTTCAAGACTTTGAATGGTGCACCAAATTTTATCAATATCATAGTTAAGCCAACTCAAAAACAACCAGTGTTAAATATTTAGTTCTAGTTTAGAAGATCACATCATTACTCATCACATTACTTGAATTTGTCCTGCGAATAACCATACTCTTAATTGATACACGGTCACTTAGGGAATAACCAGACTGATTCGGTACTGGCTGCCAAGTAGATAGCCTTGGCCACTTTAAAGGAAGGTTATAAGAATTGGCCTTAAATTTATAGGCCAGTTAGTCTTGTAATGTATCAGTGAACTATGTTACTATCAAGGTATGATAAATTATAAATTTCTTAGGACAGTATAAGTTTTACAAAATATTAACAATCAATAATTAAGTAGTGGCTAGCCAGAACTTTGTTATTAAATATATCAGTTTCAGACATCAACTCACACCAAATAATAACAACCATAGTAACAATTTAGGAAAAACAGAACCAGAAAAAGAAAAAAAATACCCAATTTGTTAGATTACACAAAAGAATATTAGACATTTCTCAAAATAACATTAACTCACAAATAAAGATCACACAAGTAAGTGCAATAATGTATTTTTCTAACAGATCAAATATCTTTAGTGAATCACAACTCTCTAGTCTATTTCCGCTTGACAGTCTTGCTCAACTTCAGATCACCAGCTTTTTTATTTCCTTGCCAGACTACATGATTACATATCAAATGACTGTCAACTTATTTGTTTTATGTAATCATGTGTGAACTTAGTATCAATATGTTTTTCCTAGGGGAACCTTTTTTTGGTGTCTTCTTATAAAAGTGAGTTGTATAGTATTTAATGTTTGCTAAGAAGCAGATGAGCTATCATTTATAGGCAAATTAAAGAACAAAAGGAAAAAAATACAAAATTATAAATTAAGTTATAACTGAAATTAAAATAGTAATTGCTACTTCACAGTCTTACTTCTGTCTTCTGTAGTGGAAAAATTATAGATGGATTCATAAAGGGAAAAATGGGTTACTAATCTTTAATTTTCTTTTTAAGGACGCTATTATAATTTCATCTATATTTGAACAAAACTTTGTAATTTCAAAATATTTTAGAACTGATATTTTGCCATTTTAACATAGCATAACAGCCGAATATTTTGGGACAACATGGGACCTATTGGTCAATCTCGGGTGTTCCATTGTCTAAACTAAAACTATTAATAAACAAATAAAAAAAAATTGTAAAGCCAACCCTTATCATTCATATACTTATCAAACTTTCTCTTGACCCTTTCCACATGGGTCAAAGGCCATGTCATCACGTTTGTTGACTCACATTAAAAAATTTATTGAAGTACTATTTTATGAATTTATGTCATTAAGTTTGGTATTAAACTGTAGAATATAATTTAAATTTTAGTATTATATATTAATTAATTTATTAATCTAAAAGTAAATGTTAAAAACACACCAAAACATTGATTTTTGTGTGTCATGTGGTATGTT